ATCTTTAATATTTACAAAAAATATTAAAATTCCTACTTTATTGACTGATGACATCAAGTTGTCCAACTTTTGTATAATGTAAATCTAACCAATAAAACATGTTAAATGCCCCTGAAACACCCTGTATTAAAAATCTTAAATAACTATTGCTGAAAAAAGTTTTATTAATTGACTTGTTGCCCATAATTCAGTTCAAAACTGTTTTTCCAATTTACTTCCGGGATTTTATAAAACCTTAATTCGGAAAACCTAATTCCAATCGTTACTTTTTACCGCTTGTTATTTTTAGAACTCCACGATTTAAAATCGAAGTCTGATTACTACTTCCGATTTTACTGACAAATTGGTATTGATTTGCCACAAAAATACAAATAACATTTTATTACACAGCAACTGTTTTATATCTTGCCAGGCCCGGATCAGGGGGGGCACGCGGGCCCCCCCCGGTGTTATTTTTTTAATTTATACAGTTATTCTGTTTCTTAAATCATCTATGTTAGCAGGTTGTGTTTTAAACACCCTGTTTTTAGATGTCTCTACAGGAAAAAGTGTAGAGGTTTTAGGTCTGGTGATCTTGCTGGCCATTCTATAAAACCTCTTCTTATTATAAATATATTATTAAATATTTCCCTCTCATTTTACTTGCACTTTTGTATGAGTCATTAAAGTCAAAATTTTAGACTTATTTTACAGTAAATTTTCTCCAATATAAATAATACAGTTTATCACATCTATCGCTAATAAATATTATGTCTACCTATAGGTATATTATAATGTGAAGGTAACATTACTCAGTAAAAACAATTTAATCTTATAGGATTAATCAGATACAAATTGTCTAGCGAATGGGTTTTATAATGTGGCTTTTAAGCTGCATTTCGCAATAAATATTGTTTCCCATTTTTTGCCTATTATTTACTAGCCAATATTAACATATTACATTTATTCTAATGGGCATGGCCGACGAAGGAATTTATTGACTATTTTTGTCTGATTTCGTTACATAGCATGAAAAACCTTGAAGAAATTTTGTTTAAATTCTTTTACCTGCGCTGATAAAGTCATTAATTAATATGTAGGTGTTACAGGTGAGTTAATTTAGTAATGGGAGGTGCGGGAATCCCCCAGGGATGAGATGATAAATTTTAGCAATTCGCAGTACGTCTCACCAGATGCCGCAAGTGATTCCCAACCGCCATTCCGATGTTTTATTACTGACAACTCTCCTGGCCTTAATTAAGTTTATTAAGGTAAATTCACAATTAATGGACCAATCTTAAATGTCAATCTATGTTATACCATTTTTTTTCGTAACTTTGTCTTTTTTATTAAAATAAAATTGTTTTTCTTTAAAATATTTTTTTCAATAAATTAAACTCAAATTAAAAGTTAAACTAAACCAAAATTTGTCTAAAAAAAAAAACTAGTCTTAACCAATTTAAATTTTAAAATTATACTTTTAACTTAAAAAATTAAACAGTATTTTGTTATTAGAACATAGATAATATAATAAATATACTGTTCCAGACCGGGCCAGTCACTTTTTCAAACAGTTTCTGAAATATCTGTGTTTTCTAAATTTGAATGCAAGGGAAGTGACGAGTATACCAGGGTACTAATTAAATACATAATTTATTGGAAAATATAAGATTTATTGCAACTTTGAGCATATTATACATTAAATATCTTAAAATCAAATAATACCACACATCAGTGGCGGCTGGTGGATTATGGGTACACCGATATCTCAATTATTAGATATGGGACCCACACCAAATTTATATGAATTTATAATGACATTAAATAAACAAGTTCTGCGCAAGCAGAATTTAAATTGAAGTTTGCGAAAAAAAGATAACCGAAACATCGAACATGGAACTGACGACACGGTACTGATGAATGGGATACAAATTTGAGATTATAATTCGGAATTAAGTATTTTACTGATATTTTTTATTAGTGGGTGCTACTTATCAACAAATCACATATATATATATATATATATATAAATTACAATGAAATATAAGTAAGAAAATAACTACTCACCATAGTACTGAAATTTTGACTGGAACTATACGTGCATTCACCAAAACTTCGCCGCTTGCATTGTTTTTAAGATGACTGTCGCGGGTGGGCTCTGTAGGTAATTTTTTACCAACACTTGAGTTAAAACGATGACTTGACGTTTAAACTTTTAATATTTCGCAGGAATTTTGAATTTTAACATTGGACACAGAACTGACGAGTTAAAGTGAGTACAAAGATTATCAATTTTTTAAAAATTGCTATTATTCGAATCTATGATAAAATATGCAAAATACATTAATTAATGTTTTATAGTTTGTAGTGAAATTGAAAAATTTAAGATAAATTGAATATATTTTAAAATAAAATCACTCAAATATTTGATTCAGGAGTTGTGATACGCCAAGGTACTAATGTTTTGAATATTTATTATGTTTTTCTACAAACGTGCTTTTGAAAAAATACATTTTAATTAGGTGGACAAAAAATATTAAAATACCTACTCTATTGACTGATGACATCAAGTTGTCCAACTTTTGTAGAATCACCCATATGTACTTACTGATGAATAGAATAAAAAAAAATATATTGATATATATCAGGATTTTTATCATGTATATTTTTTGATCAAATACTTTAACATAAAATCTTAAATCGTTTTTTGGCCAAAATTCGTAAATTTTTAAAATGTTTGTCTATCGACTAAAATAACGTACAAGATTAGTTTTAAACAATCTCTCTCACAATTTGTACAGTTTAACATGAAAAATCTTGGAATAAGTTGTTTAGAGTTCAACAAATTCCATGTAGAAAATCTTGTACTAAAACTTGTACTAGCCAGTACTAATTATAGCATTAAGTATTATGTGGCCGATTAGTTACGGGTGAAAAAAAGCGTGTCTGCATGTAAGCTGAAAAATACACACGTTCAGCAGGTTTGAGAGCGACAAACACGTATTTTTACGACGCTCGAAGGGGCTTCCAACGTTATTCTGCTAAAATAAGTTTTTACTCTCGACTGTTGGCTTCATTACACGCAATAAGCGACAAAGTATGTAATTTCATAGCAGCTATTTAGCGAGTTTAAGAGTAAGGTGAGTTGATGTAAGAGTGCGCGTTAAATCGTAATATCTCTGGAGATTGGTGTTTTGGTTTTAGGATAGGTTAAAGCATCTTAAAATCTTTTATGGTAAAATATTGTTTCTTGCCGCTAATAACACAGTGCAACAGCAAAAAAAATTATGGGGTTCTGAAAGTGGTTTTCGTTTCTCCTATCCAAAGAATGCCTTTTTGCGTTTACAGAATGTTTAGATTGATTCAGGTTTTTTTTAATATCGATTTTAAGTTTTATTAATTTTGGAACCCGAAAAACCGATATTTAATTTAAACCAATTAACTGGTAGGAAATTGTTGTCATAACAATAAATTAAAAAGAAATAATAAAAAATAAAACAAAAATTAAAAATGAATGTAAACATGTCACTAAATGTACATTTGCTCCATGCACATCTTGACCTGTTCGAAAATCAGCTGTCCACCGTATCAGAATTCTCTTAAGAGCATCAAACAATAATGGAAATGGAAAATCGTTATAGAGGAAAGAGGTTTGATTCGATGTTTGTTGGTCTATGGCAATGGAAATTTTGGCATAAAATTATAAATAAAATTTGTTATATCTTTCTTTTGTTGATTCATACTAGTTAAAAAGAATATGTTTTTAATAATTAATATAATAATAATAATAATAATTACCATAACTATTATTATGGTAGAAGCGAAAGAACTAAGAAATTGAACTACAACATATTAAATCCAGAAAGAACGTTAAATTAAAAAAAAATTGCATTTTATTGTTTCATTATTTTTTTCTTTATTTGATTGTTATTTCTTTATAAAACAATATACAATACCAATAATTATCTTTTATGTACTAATTATTTATTATTTTACGATATTTCGGGATCCAGAATTACTAAAACTTTAAATTGATATTAAAAAAAAACAGAATCAATCTAAACATTCTGTAAAAGCTATAATTCATTATTTTGATTGTAGAAACCGAAAATACTTTTAGAACACCATCATCTTAATTTTTCATCAAGAGAATTGACTACTTTAGTTTAAGGGCACCTTTTTTATTTTGATTATTTCCCTCATTATAATATGAACCAATCAAAGCCTTGAATTTTCAAATAAATTTCGTTTAAATAAGCGATTAAATCACTGGAACTATTTAACAGCGATTAAATTTTAGCCTCCATATTGGATTTTTGTTTACGATTTTATGGTGTTATTTACAAGTTTTAACGAACATTTTTTAAAAAACAATAAAAAATAAGTTATCTAGTTTACGAAATATCAATTATTACTTAAAACATACCTTAAATTAATGGAATTTTCTTTAAAAAAATATTTTTAAATTTTGACACATACGTCAGATTTTATGAATTGTCAAATAGTTTCCTTTAATTCGAGAAATAATCTAGACGTATATCTCTCAACCTATAAATTTAATCTGTCAAACTATGCTCAGTAAGTTTTTATTTGATTTTTCTTTTTGGAAAATAGTTTCATGCAAAATAATTAAAAATAAAACCCCTCGACTGCTACGCGGTCTCGTGATTTTATTAAATTACTTTGCATTCAACAATTTCCAAGAAAAACCAAACAAAAAACTACTAAGCCTAGTTTAACCGATTAAGTTCTCGTGATATAATATATGATTATAAAGAAATTGTCTAAAACCATGTTTACATAGGCAGACACGAGACAAAAATAAAAAATCCTTGAACAATGCTCAACTAACTAAGACCTTGCTAGCGAACGCAAGAATTTAACGGCCTGTTGATCGCACCAGCAAAAAAAAACGAACATAAAACGCACAATAAAAAGCCTATAACTCGCCTCCGGCCACTCAGACCCTTTTGTCAGCATAATCAAATTACACCCGAACTAACTTCACTTTTTATTTCCAGATCACGTCCTGGAGTTGGCCAGCCAGTCGGAAAACAAAACGCAGGTTCTGTTCTCGCAGGTGTATCAAGGGATGGCGGTTTTGAGCAAAGAGCCGATATCCAATCTGTACAGGGATATTTCGACCTACGTGGTTGGCAACACGACCGAAGGAGAGTTGAATGGCGCCTCGATGGACATAAAGAACTCGGTGCACGATTTTTTCACCGAGTTGTTTCCTCTGGCGTACCATGGTAGCGCTAACACGCCCAAAAGAGACTTCACGGTTTCGTACAAAATTTGCTTGAAGAAGAGTATGGAGAGTATTCTGCCTTTTGGTGATATCCCCAAGCAGATTTCTATGACTCTATCGAAGAGTTTGGAGGCCACGCGGTTGCTACTGCAAGCTTTCAATATCGGGAAATCGGTTTTAAACTCCACTGACTCTCTATTGACCATGGAGAACAGCTCTCCAGCTTGCCATAAAGCTTTAATGAAGATGACGTACTGCCCCAAATGTCAGGGTTTGCCTACATCAGCCAGGCCTTGCTCTGGTTACTGTCTCAACGTCATAAGGGGTTGTATCACGAGATACGTTTCTGAGTTGGATCTGCCCTGGAATGACTATGTGGAAAGTATAGAGAGTTTAGTGAACGCCATCAAGAAAAATAACAACGATGCTGGAGTCAACGTGGACTTGGTCATCAGGAATTTGGACAACCAGATATCTTCAGCGATTATGCACTCCATGGAGAGAACCAAGGAGATTGATGCTAAGGTAAGTTGTTATTTACATTTACACAGTTTAACATGATTTTCCTCCCAACAGATTTAAAAAATAAAGCCATTCTTATTATTTTAACCTAAACAGATTTTCAATTCGCTATTTTGTTATAATTCATTTTTTTTCTTCAAATATTTTATGTTTTTACATAATACAAAAATTATACTTAAATAAAACACCACTTGATATACAGGGTGTTCCACATTCGTAGTCCATTAGAAGTTTCTGGAGAATGGAAAAAAATATCGATTTGAAATTTAAAAGCGTTTATAATCCATCAAGTCTATTTTTTTTTAATATTATGAACAAAATGCAACTTTTGGTTTGACCGGAAGTGACATCAACTTTGTTATTTCAAATAGAACACCCCATAGATTCTGAGTAAAATTACTATACCATGTACCCAAAAGTGAATAGTTTTCTAGATGTTTGCTATTAGACTTACGGATATGGGGGTAAAATGTTTGGAATCTTAAAACATTGTTTAAAAAATTCCATGTCAATTCTTCAACATTTTTCAACAAATTACCCGAGAAACCCCAGGGCAAATTGGGCTAACTTGAAACGTTTATAACTTTTTTGTTTTAAATGTAACACCTGGTATGTTAAGACATTGACATGGAATCTTTTAAACAATGTTTTAAGATTCCAAAAATTCCACCCCCATTTCTGCAAACCTAATGGCAAGAAAGTTATAGGCTATTTTTGATTGACGCGCATTTGTCATATTTTAACGGAAAAAAACTATTTACTCTAGGTATAGGACATGGTACAGTAATTTTACTCAAAATGATAACATTTTATTGAAAAATGGGAATTTTTCATGGGAGGGAAAAATCAAATTTTGTCTTACTGTGTTATAGTTGAACACACTGTATCATAATTTCTGATAAATTGTTTTAACCCAAAACCTTCAACATAAATTCCCTTCGGTAACACAGTAAAGCGAAAACTTTTCGTATTCTGAACTTTCTGAACATCATAAATTATTGAAAAAGCTTTCCGCTCGATTTATGGGCTTCCCTGTCAAAAATGCAACGGATATTCGATGCGGCGTTGTGTTAGAATGTATAAATAATAATTAATCCTTTTCGGTACACATGTTATAAAAATAATCCTTAAAAAACGTACTTATCACGAGTGCTGTGATTTCGATGGGATTATTATTGTCGGAATCTAGTGATGCGTCGCACGCCCACTTGGATGTTAATTAAGGCTAACAATGCGATTGTTTATTGGGTGCAGTCGTTTTAAGAAAATACGTGGTTTTGTTTCGGTCTGAGTCTTGAGAATTGGGTACTTATTAGCATTCAATTTGGGGCTGGGTTTTTTATGAATAATTATTATATTTAATTAATTATTTTTTTGACACAGTTTATTTTAAAAATACAGTAATAAAAATTAGTATTTTTATTTAAAAAATTAATTATTTTTTAGTATTCAATACTTTTTCAAATACTGCAATTTTCTGTAACTTTTTTTTAAAAATCTAACAAGCAAAATGTATCCTGCAATGATTTTTTTTCTAATTCTCAATTTTTATAAAAAAAAATCCTTAAATTTTTAACATTTTCCTAAACTTTTACTGCATTTTGCATTTTTTTAAATTTGGATTTTTAAACAAAAAATCCTAAAAAGTTTTTGTAAAAATGTTAAATTAAAAAAAAACTCCTAAACTGAATTATTATTATTATTATTATAACTAAACATTTTTCCAACCTATTTCTACATTTTGCGCTTTTTTTAAAGACCCTCAATTTTTATGGAAAAATTATTAATTTTGTTAAAAATCCTTATTTAAATAGGTACCAAATCAATTTAAAAAAAAAATTGAAAAATCCTCAATTTAAAAAAATTAAAACATCCTAAATTTTTTGAAAGAATCCTCAATTTAAAAAATCCTATTTTTTATTTATATTTTAAATAAACTTTAAAAAATGTTTTTTTATGAAGCATTATACCAACATTTTGCATTTTTTTTAAATCTTTAATTTAATTGAAAAAAATGGAAATTTTTAAAAACATCTTCAATCAAAATGTTTTTTTATTTTGTCCTACTTTTACCACTCTTTTAATTTTTTTAAAAATAATTATTACTTTTATATTTTGGTAAAACTCCTTAATTTAAAAAATACCTAATTTTTCTTTTTAAATTCTTATTTTTTAAAACATCCTAAATTTTTTGAAAAATCCTCAATTAAAATGTTTTTTCCAATAATTTTTCTTTTTTTGAAAAAAATCTTAATTTTTAACAATTTTTTTTAAATCTTGAATTTAATTTAAAAAAAAGGAAATATTCCCAACTTTTAAAAACACCTTCAATAATAATAATAATAATATATTTATTTGCCAATAAGATCATATACAATGACATATGCATGGTCAGAAAATCAATCAAAATGTTTTTTTAATTTTGTCCTACTTTTTCCACTTTTTGCATTTTTTTAAACAATTATTTTTTTTAAATCTTCGATTTTTTTAAAATCCTTAATTAAAAAAAAACTCATTTTTATTTTTAAAACATCCTAATTTTTTTTTAAAAACCTTAATTTAAAAAAGAAATCGAAAAATCCTCACTTTTTTACAACATCCCATTTTTTTTTAATCCTCAATTTAAAAAAATCCAATTTCTTTTATTTAAACTTAAAAAATTTGAAAAACTTTTAAAAATATCTTCAATCAAAATGTTTTTTTTTAATTTTGTCCAATTTTACCACTTTTTGCATTTTTTTTAATAATCACCTATGTTTTAAATCCTTTTCTTTTGTATTATAAATAATCAATTTTTTTTAAATTCCTAATTTTTAAAATATACCCACTAATTTATTTAAATCCTCCTTTTTAAAAAAGCATTTTTTTAATTTAAATTTTAAATTTGTAAATATCCTTAATAATAAGGTTGTTGAAATGTTGAAATTTGTTTACCAACTGCTAAGCATTTTCCTAATTATTTTTTAAATCCCTAATTTTTATAAAAAAAATCTTCATTTTATGTAAAAATACATAAAAAACTCAATTTTATATTTACCGAATTTTTTTGAAAGTCCATTTAAAAAAAAAACAATTTTTTTTTACATTTTTAATTTAGAAAAATCTATTTCATTTCATTTTTTTTGTAATTTATTTCTTACTTATTACTGCATGTCTGAAAAAAACTTAATTTTTATAAAAAAATCTTAATTTTTTTAAACATCACAATTTTTTTAAATCCTTAAATTTTTGGGGTTCACGAAAATGACTTTGTTATGTGTTATCTATATTATTTAATGCAAAAATCAATGCCATTTCTTATGCACTTAATAAATATTGATTTTATAATGTTTATGCTAAGATATCCTTATGCATTTGTCGATGTAAATATAAATTCCAGTAAACACATTTATCTTATCTCATAGACCAAATAAATAAGTTTATTTTTGCGCGGCATATTGAATGCATTTGCGAAAATCCGCAAACTTTCATAACACATTTACCACGATTCAACTTCGGCAAATAGATTTATTTCACTCGCGTTTTTTTTTCATATTTTTATCCGTGTCGGTTATGATAATTTTAAAGATGAAGGGTATTTTTGCGCTGTAAAACTTCTCTCGTTCATAAAAGTGGGTACTTTATGGCGAAAATTTAACTGGCGCGGGCCCCACAAAATGGGATTATGACTGAAAACGTTTCAAAGCAAAAAGTACAAAATTGAGTCATCCATCTCACCTTTGTAAGCGTAGAAGATTTCCTTTTAAGCCTCCGAAATAAGATTTAAATTCGTTTATGATTTGAAGTAAATTTTACTTAATACAGTGTGTCTAAAAAAATATAATTTTTTTTCAAAACCGTTTCTGCAATCATTGGAATCAGGGATGTCAGAATCTGTCAAAAAAATACGCTAGATTTTGTTTAAATGCACCTTTATTTCAAAAATGACACAATTAACAATAATGAATAACGTCAAATTGACAATTTGCATTGTATCAATGTGTCATTTTTGTTATTAAGGTGGATTCAAACAAAATCTAGCGGATTTATTAGACAGATTCTGGCATCCCTGATTGGAATTCACTAAAATTGCACAGTGCAGTCCTTTTTTTGTATTCCAAAATAAAATACAAATCCATGCCATAGTGTAAACGGTCTTCAAACATTTCTGGGGATACAAACGTTATGTAAGTAAAAAAAAAACATTATTATAGCAAACTTACCTTTAAATTTTGTTAAACACACGCTATATAAAAGCCCACTTAACCTTACAATAAGGAACCTCTAATCGAATTAACTATCATCAACCGACTAAACGCGGTTAGAAGACAAAGGGTACCGATTTTAATCGAAAGAAGACGAAAGTTAGCGAATTAGAAGAATACATTTATATTTAAATTGAATTAAATAAATAAAATACTCAATTTTTTAAAAATGTTCTGTACTCAAATATTCAACAAATATTTTTGAGTTAGATTAACACTTCTTTAGGAGTCTGTATTATATTGAAATTAACATAATTTTCTCAAAACATTAACTATACACTGAAAGAAATATATGTTTGTTTTAGCAAATGTATGTGGTTCATATATGGACTACCACATACATTGCTAAAACAAACATATATTATATTTAGTTTTAACATAATATGTTAAAACTAAATATAAAAATGGTTAAGGTAAATATATTTTATGTTTCATATATAGACTACCACATACATTGCTAAAACAAACATATATTTCTTTCAGTGTATTATTATACTACAATGTACAAAATTATTATTTAACATTCTTATTTGTGTAGGACCTTTTAACACATTAATTTTTGTTAAATCTTTTGAAATTTTAAGATTTTAATTATTATAATTTTTTATCATGTAACGTATATAATTTATGTTATATATGTCCAGACTTTAAATAGATACCCTGTATATATATATATCGTATGGTTTTATTGACCTGTACACACAAAATATTCAATTTCAGTTTAATAATTCCTTCATATAATATAGTGTAAATAAATAA